TTATCGCCTCACTTCACACTCAGAGTTTAAGACGTGGTTGCTATTGGAGACGGTCTGCTTGGTAACACTGTGCTAATGATTCTCAAATTTAGGACTTACAAACTTCTCAAACTTGTTTTTTCAATATGTACTCTCACAAAGTGTGATTTGGTTTGCTTCCTGTCCAATCATCTGCACCTCTGCTTCCAGAGGGACAACTCTAGACAGTCGGTATTTTTGGTTTTGTGCACAGATTTCTGAGTAAGCCTCCTGGAAGTACAATGCATTTTTCTTCCTAAACAAAAAATCTAAAAATAGCCAATATTGGTTTAAAGGAGACATATTAGGAAAAAGCAACTCAGAGCTTTTAACCATGTCATAGTTGTTTCCTTCTCATGGATCCTCGTAAGTCTTTACAGTGGTTCATGCATGTTTGAGTAACACAGAGGACTTCTTTTGACCTCGAGAGCTGCTCATACAATACACAGACCATCTCAAAAATATTAGAATATCATGAAAAACCATGAAAAATCTGTACTGGGGCATGAATGTGAAAATGACCACGGTCCACTGTTGTCATAGACATCATAACTCTAGAGCACACACAAATAAGCACAACATCTGCTTTAACATGGCTTTAGCAGGCAATAATGTAATAACAGACAGCTGATGCCAACATTCTAATCTGAGCCTAATATTGTATATTGTATTATTGTAATAAGAAACCAGATCTTGATTATGATATAAGCATAAAATATTACTTCCACTTTTTCTGTAATTGTCCTTTATTACATTATTACTCCATTTTCCAAACTCATAATATTACAATATAAAAGTTTCCAGAAAAACTGATGTAAATCAGTTCCTTTCCTTCCCCCCTCTGTGTGGTGCAGAGGAGCTGCTGCTGTGACCTTGGTGCCATTGTTTACATGAGATAATGTGTGTTTCCTCTGTGCACACACACCCAGCCTAAACTGCTCCCATTACACGGCACATGTGAGAAAGACACACAGATGAGCACAGAGATGCTCCAAAACAAACCCCTGAGAACATCCAGCTCATTAAAGGGCCTCGACCTGATCTAGTTGAATGGATATTTGTATGGATTTGAACACAAGTACACATATATTCTATAAGCAGCTCTTGAGGTCAATATCAGATGGGTATTGTCTGCATCCAAGTGTTTTCTAAGTGTTTTCTTGTCTGATAATCAGGAACTGCACATTAGCATGCTTGTTGTTGTTAGCATTACTGTGGTGACCTCTGAAAGTTGTGAAAAGCACTTATATACTCATTGTGGTGAGTAATTAGGATAGTCTGAATACACAGGGTAAGTGAGAAATGACTTTGGACCACTGCAGATTGTTTCACACAAACAGTTTTAAGACAGTCCAAATCAGGTACAGAGACCTGAACATTAATGTAAATATATGTAAATATAATGTAAATGTAAATGTTAAATGTGATAAACTGCACAGCCCCACAGTCATACTCATAGGTTTGTCTGTCCACCTTGGGTGCCATTTTGAGGACTTTGGACCATTTAAAGTGCCTATGACAGGTTTTCATGTTTATTAGTTTTTGACCTGGTTGGGTGGGATAGCACCTTTGCTCAAAATGTACATAGTTTTACATCAGTTATGTATGGAAGCCCATTTCTGCCAGTAAATAAAAAATAAAAGCCTCACAGAAAGTCATAATTTTGACTTTAAAACTCATAAACATTATAATTATGAGTTTTAAACTTATAATTATGAGTTTTAAACTCATAATTACAAATTTAAAAGTCATAATTATCAGTTTAAAAGTCATAATTATCAGTTTAAAAGTCATAATTATCAGTTTAAAATCCTTTTATCAACATAGAAAAGTGAATAGGCTTTGTGCAAATGTTGTTGTTTTTTTATTACAAACCAAAACATTTGTCAGTGAGATCACTTTGTATTGAATGTTCCACTTTCATGATCCACTTTCATGAAGTGTTTGCAACAGTGTGAGCCTCTTCTGGCTTCAGAACAGTCAAAGTCACTGAAGTTCCCACTGTGGCTGAAATAATGTGCTGTGACCTGAGCTCGTTTTTATGACTGAGGAACGTCCCGTCATCTCCAGTCAGTGCCACTGTGTTTCAGCCCCAGCGCTGTACTAAGGGTACACTCACACTAGGACTCTAGGACTTTAGAACCATGCTGTGCTCAAGCACGATTGCCATGGGTTCTATGTTCCACATTCACACCTGCACAACCGAACCAAGCCACGGCCCGATGACATCATCACACAGCATTGTTTGTTTACATGTGGTGCAGCCGAGCGAACACTTTAACAGAAAAACTTTAAGAGAAATAAGTCCAGCATCAGAAATCACTCTTAAATAGTGAGGCAGACATGAGTCCTGCCGCAATATGCTCGTCTGTGAGGTTATGGAGATAATAATGAGGAGATAATGAGGAGTGAGGACAGCCGGACACAAAGCTGCAAAACTTTTGTCACTGTCCACTGATTTTTCTTAAAAATGTTTAAAACAGTTTGCAGTGGTCCAAAGTTCTTCCTCACTTCTGCATTCAGAGGATCCTAAATATTTACCACGATGAGTTTGAAGCACTTTTCACAACTCTTAGAGTTTTGCAGTCACAGTAATGCTAACAGCAACTAGCATGCTAACTGTGCACTTCCTCATTTCAGACAATAAAATGCCTTATAGTTAGATGCAGACATGTTTTGACCTCAAGAGCTGCTTATACAATACATCTGTACTGGGCCAAGACACATTTTGGGGCAAAGTAGTGGCCCTTGAAGTCTCGTCTCTGGTCCGTCTGTTCTGCTCATGCACGTCTGAATAACTTCATGTATTTGTGATCTAATGCTTTCGGGAGTGGAGTGTGTTAGCTTAAAGGTAAGTGCTGCTGAGGTGTGGTGCATGTTCACGACTCTTCATCTGTGTTTGCGTGCATGCTTTTTTTGAGAGTGCAGACTCCATGTTGTTGTAGCTGTACTCTGCCCTCCCCTTTAAATGTCCCATAAGGAAGTCTATGGTGATGAGATGAACATCCACTTGAGGAGATTTAGGATTCTGTTCAACCTGAACTATGATTTTCTCCAGCAGCACTTGATTCATGGACTAAACAGGACCAAACCAAGGACTAAACCAGGTCTAAACCCAGACTAAACCAAGGACCAAACCAGAACTAAAACAGGATCAACTCTATGTCTAAACCATGACTCACTAAGGACCACATCACTAAACTCAGGCTACAATATTATCAAATAAGACTAAACCAGGGCTACACCAGGATTAAACAAGGACCCAACCAGATCTAAACCAAGTATAAACTAAGTCGAATAAACAAATGACAAAACCAGGGACTAGACCAGGACTCGTCATGATTTTATTATATTTTCATGCCAATAGAAACTTCCTCCTCCTCCTTGCATGTTACACTAGTCATTTTTTAATTTCATACAGTTAATTGGAAATCCTAACCCTCCTGTTGTAGTCCTGATGGGAACATTATTACTCACTTTATTGGCCGCTGTGGTCTACTGGAGACAAACAATGAGACATCTGTACAAACGTTTATAGCAATGTCATGTAGCCTAACCCTCTATACATCTATGTATCTATACATTTTCTATACATTCATATATATGTGTGTGTGTGTATGTGTGTGTGTGTGTATATATATATATATATATATATATATATATATATATATATATATATATATATATATATATATATATTAGAGATGGTAGAGTAATTTTGCTTATTTAAAAGGCCTATTTTATGCTGTGTACTGATGTATGTTATAATGTTTCCTTACCAAAAATACCTGAAGTTTTATTTCAAACATGTTAAACCTCACAAACTCTGCATATTAACAGACTAATAATAAAGTGTTACTCAAACATGTGTTAATGAAACAAAACACAGCTCACAAGAGTCAGTTTTGTGTAATACAGGACATTTAACAATGAGAGTAAGCACTGTGTATTGTCCCAGATTCCCACTAGGAGCTGCTCTACATTGTCATGATACAAAGTGACATGTATTTAGCACATGTCCAAAGAGCCAGGCTAGTGCAGTGGTGTGTATGTGGAGTCCTGTTTATCCTCACTAACCCTCTTTGTTTTTATGAGTCTAAAATGACACACATCTGCCTGCTCTCTTCACACTTTTATGGACAGAGAGATAAAAGTGTAATGTGGCTCTCAGTGGGAGAAAGCCCAATGTCCCGTAGCTGCACTCTCAAATGTGGTGATATGATTATTATTCTCTCCAGGCTCATTTTAATGTCTGTATTCACCATAGACCGGAGCTATAAAACAAAGGAGCACAGGATGAGCAGGGCCACTGTTAAGATGTCTTCAAGATGTTTCATAAAGTTAGATTGGAATAAACTCCAAACTCCAACCAAATCTATGAACCATGTCAAAACAAGGACTACACCAGGTCTAAACTAGGACCACACCAGGACTTTTCAAAGACTAAAACCAGGTCTAAGTCAAGACTTCACCATTCTTAAGGGTTGAACTAAGCTAAACACAGGCTAAGGGGAGACTGGACGAGGACTCAACATGACAAAAGTTCAGTTTCATCCGTACTGACTGACAGAACCATTCTTGCAGCTGTGATGGTTCAGTTCTGGATTCATAGAATCATAGTTACATGCATTACTTTGCACCTTAACTATTGCTAAACCAGGGCTAAATCATGACGAAACAAAGTCTAAACCAGGACTAAACCAAGACTATTCCATCCCTAGCATGCACAAGAATGATCAGTCAGCGCTTTACCCACTGCCTCTAGCAGTTATCTGGGATTCATAGTCTTAACTATAACTAAACCCGGATTAAATAATGACAAAAAACATTTCACCACTAGGACTAAACCAGGACTAAGAACACATTTTGAATCCTCCTGTCTCATTCTTTTGCATGACTGCTTAAAGTACATGTGTTTGCTTGTTGTGTGTTTGGTCTTTAACTCTTGTTTGTCCCACTGTTGTCTCTGTGCTTCTCTGCAGTGGACCAGAGCATGTTTGAGAATTCCAGTGCACACAGGCAGAGTCCACAGGTTAGCAGGCCCGCTTCCAGCAAACGCTCCCCAGCTGCAGTGAGCCACAGCCTGGGCAGCAGCGCCTCGGACATCCCCTCTTCTGGAAGTCAGCAGAGGCTCAAGAACGCCATCAACCTGGGCAAGGCAAAGGTCAGTGTGAGAGAGTGTGTGTGCGTGTGTGCTACAGAATACTTTGAAAATATATTCAGTTACAGAATAGTGAATACCTGCATTAAAATTTATTTTGGACTGTTTTCTTATACATGGGCCAATCAGAATATTTGCAATGTATGTATCCATTAGATTTTAGGAAAGTAACTTTATTCTGAATATAACCAAATGAAAAAGTAACTGTACCACAATACAGTTCCTGAAAATTAGTATCCTGAATATGTATTTTGGTTACTGTATTCAGTTACACATATTTATTCAGTTACACTGCAAATTGACAGTAGCCAGATTAGCGCCACTTAGTGCCTCCGCTCAATTTAATTTCTCTCCAGCAACTAGGTCAGGAATCAGAATACACTAGACGGTTTGCAAAAACCCCGGAAGTGCATTTCCGAGCACCAGCCAATCAGCAAAGAGCCAGACATTCAGTTTTGTCAACGTTTCTCGAGATTGAGGATTTAAAGCCGGAACAAAGAGAATGTTTGGTGAATTTCATCAAGGGGAAAGACGTTATTGTCCTTCTTCTTAAAGGATTTGGGAAAAGCTTAATATATCAGTTAGCCCTGTTAGTGGGGCATTACATACGTCACGACTAAATAGCAGCAATTGGTTAAATGATAAAAAGTAGTTGCCTACCGTCGAGCGAACAAATCCTAACGCTGCGAGGTCAGAATGTTTCTATGAAGAGAAACCGGGTGATGAATCAGGCTAAACTGGCTCCATGAAGGAAAAAATAACTGTATGAATAAAAATGGCTTTCACTTTCATTGAGTTTGGAATGACCACTTCAAGACACCAAAAGTACAGTGTACTCTTCATCCACTGCTTCACACTCGTGATAAGATACATTGTAGCCACAGCTGCCCTGAGGCAGACTGACAGAAGCAAGGCAGCCAATCTGCACTATCTGTACCTTCTACTACCACACCACATTTATACATGAATTCATACTTTCGCAGATGATGCCATCAACATTTAATGCCATAGACATCCATGTAGAACATACCTAGCATGAGGTGTAAATTATCAATTTGAATACACAGTTTGAGAATCCTCACCTCCCTACATGTTTTGTGTCCCTCTGGTGCAGATGACTGACCTGCTGAGGAGGAAGGAGCCCGCCCACATCGAGGACATCGGAGTGACTGAGGTCAACAAGAGCGTGGACCTGAGCTGGAGTCTCAGCCAGAGCAGGTGAGAGACCAGAGGGGGGCCAGAGGAGCCAGAGCAGGTGAGGGACCAGAGGGGGGTCAGAGGAGCCAGAGCAGGTGAGGGACCAGAGGGGGGTCAGAGGTGGTCAGAGGATCCAGGAGCAGTTATCAACAATGGGGACAAAAATGTTTTAAAAATATTACAATCACAACTGAGCCTATGTCCCCAGAGCCTTCACCTGCAGATAGAGACACATCCAAATGTGACTAATTCTCACAGACCATGGCCACAGGCCAGAGGCTGCACTAGCACTGACTCATGACTGGTGCAGGTGCTGGGGTTTAGGGAGTGACTGTTCAGATCAGAGAGACTTTTTAGGTTTAAACACACTAGATTTCAGCATTCAAACTGGCAACAAATGAGAGACTCATGTGAGGCTCTGAGGTTCTGATTGGATAATGTTCTTGAACCAAAATACCAAATTATAATCTTAATAAATGTGGAATCATTTCCAATGTTTCTGTAAATCAGGATTACAACTGTTCTCAGTCAAAGCATTGATCTGACTCTCATATCTGGGACATGGTTTAAAAAACGTGAGTATCAAATCTGTTCCTTAGTATTGAGTTGAAATTGAGTTTGGAATGGTGGTATGACATCACTACTGTAGTGGCCCCAGCTCATTTCTAGTTTTAGATTAGACCATAATATTGCCACATACAGATCCTGTCAGCACACACACACGACCCTCTGGGACATTACCTGCCGCAGCCTTGCACTGGTCCCTTACAACAGTAAATGCTCATGAGCACAACAACAGAACATGTAAAGTCTGTAAAGTCCTGCTCCAGCCTCATCTTTGTGCTGTGCTTGTTATTCTGAGTCCAAAATTATTAAAGCTCTATAGAAAACACACACTGCACTCAGCTGCACACCACTTTTCATTAGCATCTGTGACTGGAATCAAATGAGACGCTTTAAGTGCCAAGGTTATGTTGTTTTTAAGTGTGTTTCTTCTGTGTTTCATACATTGATTTTGTGAGTAGAATGGGCTAAAGAATACGTGGTAGAACCATTAACCTTGGGTGTGTTTGGATGCATTTAAGCGCCCTGGGAAAGCAGAGGACTGATGGAGGAGATTCTCACAGATGAATCGTTACCAGTTTTAATTAATTGTGACTCGATGTGTGAAAATGAGAAATGAATGGTGCGCGTGATGGACTTATGGATTTGAATGAGTCAGTGTGAGTGCAGTGAATGTAGAATGTGACAGATTGTAAAGCGCCCGATCTGTTTGTGCTGATAATAAAGTCACTCTGTTACTGTTTCAAAGAGGCTAATGCACGTTAGCTGTGTAGTGAGAGCTTTAAAAACACAGATGAGCAATGACCAACTAACAGAGGTAGGTAGTATTCATTTACATTTACTCAGTTACATTTACTTGAGGAACTTTTTCTGATTCTGATGAAGAAATTGTTCTTTACAAGAGCGCTTTTCTAACAGCATTAATGACATAAAATCATTTGAACATTTGTGTTTCTTGCAGTGCTCCTTCAGATATGATTTATTTTCTCATTTTTGTGTCTCCCAGATTTTGTTAGCATTTTTAACAAGCCATTTTGCCAGTCTTCCCCTGTTTTCAGCTCCACTGGTACACGCCCACTGTGATGTATGCACTTCCTTCTCCAGTTTGATTTTCTTACTCGGTGATAGACGTAGGACTGGGCAGCATCCTCTGCTCTAGTGTGATGTGCAGCTGTCCACAGGAGGGGCCCAAAGCCTGTGGTGCTTTGTTCAGTTTTCTATCGTAGAAGTCAGAGGACTTGCTTCATTTTAGATTGTTGAGATTTAAAATGTGATCCACAGGTGTCACAGACCATATATAGAAGACACAAGCAGAATATGTCTAAGAAGAAAAGTGATGTTTGTGAAATATTTTCTATAGTTCTTACATAGACTAGAGGAAGATCTTCATAAATGACTGTGTGCTGATCATGTACATGTGTGTTCCAGCTCCCTCTCCCCTCTGGACTCATTCCCACGCCTGGACCCTCCCCCTCCCTCAGGCAAGAAGAGGGTCCCCCGTGCCCTCAAGACCACCCAGGACATGATGATCTCCTCTGTGCCTGTGGTCTCCTCCCCCGAGTCCACTGACTCCGCCTCCTGTCCGCCCACTCCTCACAAGAGCCCGCCCACCCCAGAGAAAAGACCGCCCACTCCTGAGAAAAGACCACCCACTCCTGAGAAAACCACACCCATCATCAGCCCGGACATGCTCGCCGCCAAACAGGAAGAGGCGGGACCAACAGAGAGTGAAGCAGGAAGCACAGGTGAGCAGCCCCGCCTCTCAGTATAAACCACTGCAGTGTCAGTGCCGTTTTAGAACATCACAACATTCTACAGGCCAGTCACATTTAATACAGTTGGGGGCAAATAAAATCAATCTCCATTTGTAGCTATTGAAGTGTGTTCCTCTGCAGCCCCCATAGACGCAGACTTCACCCACACTCCAGACCTGGATGAGGCCAGTCGGATCGTGGAGGCCGCTCTGGAGCTCTCCATCCCAGACCTCATCAACAAGGGCCCTCCGGAGGCGTGGCTAAAGGGGGGCGGAGCCGACCCCGCCCTGGGCCCCAGTCAGGATGTGCCTCTGGGAAACAGCTCCCCCTGTGGGAGAGGCGGGGGGGAGGACGCAGACGCACACAGCAGTCCAGACCTGCTCTCCTTTGAGTGAACGAGAGAGAGTCCAGTGTTCTACCAAAGACGAGAGTCATGCCAAAAAGAACCTAAAAATATGGTCACATTATGTCAGTTCAAAATATGAATCTTGATTTGAGTCAGTTTGATTATTTTAGCTGTATACTAGTCCTTGATTTTAAAGATGTACTATGTAACTTTTCTGCTGAGGGCTGTGCCACTTTCTTGTCTCCATGAAGATGAATGATATGGTGCTGCTTGGAATGTTCCACAGTGTAGCATTAACTTATCTTCCTTGTATTTAGGTCATTACTTGTGCTTGTATTGCTGAAAAACAGCTTGAAAAAAGTTTTAAAGATTGTTTTGTTTTGTTTTTTTACTGTGAGCTCTGCTTGTCACCATGGAGATGATATTGCATTGCCTGGAATGTTCCTCAGTATGGCATTCATTTATCTATCTTGCAATTAGTCAACTGCAGATGCATTTATTACTGTGAAATACCTATAAAGTTTTTGAAGTTAAAAACCTTTTACAAGTTTCTTCTTGTCTCCACAGCGACAGTCAAATGCCAGTCTGTGGAATATTTGGCACAGCGACTACAGCTTCATCAGAAAAGTTACACCGTCTTCCTTTAAAATTATTCTGACAATGTATGTGTAGTTATAAGCAAAATAATCTGTCAGATGTTTTGCTAATTAAATAGTTTTCTTACTTTACCGAAAGAGAATGAAGAATTTAATCTATAAAAATAAAATCATTCTTAAACTTTCACATAAATTGTAAAATCTTCTCAAATCCAGATGAATATTCTGAATTGAAGTATGTGACTGATCTGAGAGAATATAACCTCCAGTCCATTCCCTTAAGTTTCTATGTATTTGAACATGAAACAGTTATGCAAAAGAAAAAAAAGTGTGAAATGTAAAACAAAAATCATCCAAATTTGTTCGAATTCCAATTCAAATCGGGTCACATGGTTTGGACATGTGACAGACTGAAAGGGACATGTGGACACCAAAGACTGAAGGGACGCTCGCTGGAAATAACATGGTTTATATGAGTTTAATATTTTATCATTTAGTTTATGATTTTTATTTTAATATTTCTATTTCTATTTTCTAATCAGCTGTGGCATTGCTCCATATGTTGCCTTAAACTGAATGTAATCTTGATGATTTTTATGTCTGTACAGGTGAAGCCTCTATACACTACATTATTTGGACGACTGGTGATTCCATATTTAAAGGTGCACTATGTAACATTTTGGTTTGTGGTCCATCACCTGCTTGTTTCTATGGATATGTTATTGTTTTGCCTGGAATGTTCCACAGTTTGACATTAGACATCTCTACTTTATTCAATTACAAGTGTTTTTATAGCTCAAAATACCTAGAAAAAACAGACATTATGACTGTGAGCGGGGTCGCTTCTCCACAGATCTGACCTGTAACTTGGTCTGGTTTGATCTCCATGTAGATAGAAAGGGTTTAATTCTATACTGTCAAACTTTTCAGACAAAGCATCTGCATGGAGAAAAGTGTTTGATGGACTCTCCTCCAGAAAAGTTACACAGTGCAGCTTTAAACCTGCCAGACTGATTCATTTGAAATAGTTTATTTGTTTTGTTTCTTTTGTTGTTTTGTGTTTAAAGGGCCTAGATTACACAAAATTGACTCATGAACTTGAAGTCATGTTATGATGTTGTTTTTTCCTCAAAAACAGAGCTGGACTTGTGTTGTTTCATTCACACATGTTTGAGTAATCCTGGATTATGAAGCAGTTTACATCTCAAAGCTCCTAAAGATCACAATGCTCTGTTCCACCTTGTGATGTCATCAAGTGGCAGTTTTTAATTCAACAGCTAAATTTTTGCCTCAATTGAACTGCTTTACTCTACAGTACTCTAGAATATACATAAGTTGCTGCCTTTTTAAAAAATATTTTAATTTCATCATTTGCTCATTTGAGATTCCCACAGAAAGTCTCCAGTTCCTTCTGAGGTTCAACAAAGCTGCAGAAAGTGAAACAGAGTCTGCACACTTACTCTCAATCTGCATTTAATGAATGACAGTGTTTTGGATCAGTGGCCACTGCCGTATAAACTTTCTGCCTGCTGATTGGTTAACCAATCTAAAAGTGAGCCACAGGAGATGTCCACACAACACACTATAGAACACAACATACACTGTACATAACATGAGCCATTACCAAATCCATTTGTTATCATCGGGTTAGTAAATTACTTCTGAAATAAATAGAACATATAATGATATAACATAAGACTAAAACAGTAGATGCAGCTTAACAAATTGGCAATTCCTGGACTGCAAATTCAAATGATTCTAGTAAAGGTGTATGGACTTTAAAAACACAGTGGAGCACTTCCTGTATTACCCTGACATCACAAGGTGGAACAGAGTGTTAAATGTGAAGGGTTTGTGTGTTAAATATGTGTGAATAAAACAAAACACAACTCCAGGTCTGTTTGTGACGAGAAAATTACATTTGAATAGATCCAAAAATTACACACACACACACACACACACACACACACAAAAGGCCCTTTTCTTCTACCAAACTGACTTTTACTCACTACAGGGCGTCTGTCAGTTAGTATCATGTTGACAATAACTATGCTGCTAGTTTGCCATTTCAAAACTGCTTCAGTGCTCTCTGTTGCCAGCAGGTGGCAGAAGTTGTAATTCCAATGTAGTTTCAGTTTGAATTCAGTGTCTTTAAGAGAGTGCCTGTGTTGACCTTTTAGTGAATTTGGAGCAGGGGCTAGAAACAAAAATCATAATTCATAAATGTCTAGACGGCAAATTATTCTCATTAACTTTTATAGCTTTAATTATTATCGTCGCCGTGGCATTTAACGAAGCAGGCTACAATTTGTCCTGCTTTACAGCTAATTGTTGTTGCTAATTTCTCAAACGCTGCTATGAAACTTTTGATAATATTAATTCTAGGTCTTGCTGGTTTTTGCATGTCAGATAATGGAGGAGCAGAGTGCAGAGTGACTTTTAACTTTAAACAAAGGGAAGTGTAACCTGTATTTCTGGAAATGATAAATGCACAAATGAGAAGTTTCATTAGTGGGATGTACGCTGATTGTGTTGTGATAGTGCTCCGAAGGGGGAGTGAGCAAAGGGAGAGCGTCAAAAACAAAAGTGAAACAAACAAATATATATATATTTTGGCAAATATAGCATTCTCAAAACAATAAAAGGTCACATCGTGATCTAAATATGTTATGTGTTAGCAGTTTATACTCCATGTTCCCTAACGAGTATTTAGTTTGACAATTTCAGATTTGTTTTTTGACCCTCTGAGGCTGCGGTAGGGTGAGCAAGTTCAACAGATGTGAACAGAGCTTTTAGTATTATTTTCGAAGCACAGAGAGACCAAAGAGGCTGTATTTTGGCATTAAGACTGCCAACAGTACTGGAATGTAGGGCTGCATAATTATGGTCAAAATGAGTAGATATGAGTAATGTTTGGTGGTTCATGTTTTTAAAAGAACTCTATGTAAGATTTGTATTTTAAATGTCATAAACTCAGAAGTTTATGTCCCCAGATACAAGATAAACATGTTAAATCACATAGAGCTTTTACTCACAATTATAACACTGATTTATTCTTTAACATCAAAACTTTGGACATGATGGACAAGTTGTTTATGGTATCATTTAATTCTGGTTCAAGACAATTGTCCAATCAGAAAGCAGAATGAGCTGTCTATTTGCAGGTTCAGCTCTGGAGACACAGGATCAGTTTGTTTGTAGTAACTTTTGAAAAAGGTGAGAGCTCAGGATACATCCAGCTCCTTTAAAGTCTCTGATTAAACTGTTTTTTAGATCCAGAATGAGCATCAATATGATTCAGAACAGAAACAGTATTTCTTATGGATCCTGATTCAAATGGTTTTCCTGCACAGCCTCAGCAGAACGTTGTCAACATGAGGATGTGATGAGACAGTTGGATGTGTTATGGTGGACCAAAGTCTCACTCTTCCCGCTGTCTGTGAGCTCATGAGGCGACGTGAGGGTGACCTTAAAGCAGATGTGACAGATAAACCTCCTAAAGCCTCTGTCCTCATGCTGAATGGAACAGTGCGCTCAGTGTCTGCCCACTAGCCGTAAGGTTGCCAGTTGGATTTTGGACACCCCAGTACATGTGATTGTTGTGTCGCTGGGCAAGACATGCAGTCCACATAGAACAGTCCAGGTTGTGACAAGAAGGGCATCAGGAAGTGAGAAGGATTGGTCAGTAACAGTCTGTTTCTGTTCTTTCAATTAGGAACGAAAAACAATAAAATGGAAAAACAGTTTGTTATTTCATTATTCTGTTTTAGTGTCAAACAACTTAAAAAAATAAATAATTTTGACCTTTAAAGTTTATTTCAAATAACACCAATCAAAAAACAGTCCTTGTGCCTTTTTCAGTTTTGATATTTTATTCTCTCTGGTTTTATTTGCTCCGGAATTTCTGCTGCTAAAAGAACTCACCTGAAAAATCGTTACAGTTTTGTGGACAAACATCTTGTCTTCTTTTTTAGCGATGCGTTTACTTTCATGTAGTCTAAATCTTTTTTTTTTTTTTGTTTGACACTAAAACCGTTTTTCCATTTTATTGTTTTTTATTGTCATTTGCTGCATGAACTTTTTTTCCACACACGTTTTAAGTCATAAATTGTCTTAGGCACAAATGGAAAAAATGTATAAATCCAACACATTTGATAACAACGTTCTCTTGCTTGTTTCCATGGAGATGTTATTGCTTTGCCTAGAATGTTCCACAGTAGAGCATTAACATAGCTGACGTATTAAATGAGGTGTTTTATTGGTTTAACACACCTCTCCACAGATCTGACCTGTAACATGAGACATTATAGACAAAGTGACAACATTTCCATGGAGACGAGCTTTTTCACAAGATAAGCTTAGATAAGCTTGATGCCCCGCCCACCACCTCCTCGGAGACTTCCCATGATGCCGAGCAATGCCCTTTTTTGGAGGTCAGGGTCATGTCCGGTGAAAGAGAGGAATGTACCAGGATGTGAGCGCCCTTTGTCTGTGTGTGTGTCTGTGTGTGTGTGTGTCTGTGCGTGTGTGTTTGTGTGTGTGTCTGTGTGTGTGTGTGTCTGTGCGTGTGTGTCTGTGCGTGTGTGTCTGTGTGTGTCTGTGCGTGTGTGTCTGTGTGTGTGTGTGTCTGTGTGTGTGTGTGTGTCTGTGTGTCTGTGTGTGTCTGTGCGTGTGTGTTTGTGTGTCTGTGCGTGTGTGTCTGTGTGTGTGTGTCTGTGTGTGTCTGTGCGTGTGTGTTTGTGTGTGTGTCTGTGTGTGTCTGTGTGTGTGTGTGTGTCTGTGTGTGTCTGTGCGTGTGTGTTTGTGTGTGTGTCTGTGCGTGTGTGTGTCTGTGCGTGTGTGTCTGTCGTGTGTGTGTGTCGTGTGTGTCTGTGTGTGTGTGTGTCGTGTGTGTGTGTGTCTGTGCGTGTGTGTCTGTGTGTGTGTGTCTGTGTGTGTCTGTGCGTGTGTGTTTGTGTGTGTGTCTGTGTGTGTCTGTGTGTGTGTGTGTGTCTGTGTGTGTCTGTGCGTGTGTGTTTGTGTGTGTGTCTGTGCGTGTGTGTGTGTCTGTGCGTGTGTGTCTGTGCGTGTGTGTGTCTGTGTGTGTGTGTTTGTGTGTGTGTGTGTGTTCCTCCGTACACATACATGCAGAAACCCACAGTGTGATGTCACTGCAAGGTTTCAGCTGGATGTTGTGGAACACTCCAGGCTTTTATTAGGTGTGTGTTGCCCTCTGCTGGTGACAGTGGGAAGTGACACACTTTGTAATGACACAATAGCTGCAAAGTTAATTATAGCAATAGTCTGATAGGTTCAAGTGCTTCTGTAGATGAACACACGTGTGTGTGTGTTAAAGAGGAAACCAACTCACCAAATATGGCCTTAAAATACAAAATATGTCAATGTTTTTTTGTTGTTCTTTTAATGTGGAAGTGTATTGTCTTTAAAACTATTAATAATAGTAAAACATGCAACAGATTTAGGATTTTATAATACCACAAAGTTTTGAATTCACTAAACATTGTGATAGAGGACACCGTTCCCCTGCACACCGACATACACAGGGTGTCCATTTTGCAGGCCAATCATTTTGGTAATTCTTGTTGCAATAACCTAAAATTTTTCACAGAATGTTCAGAAACAGATGAAGAATTTATATTTAATATTTTATTTTTGTTCTGTTTCCAGGTTGAGCCGTTCACTCCCAAAGAGACTTTTGCTTCTTGGAATCTGCTGGACACATGTGTGATCCTTTAGTCCTGCAGAAGATCCTTCTTCTGTACTTTTTTGGTACCAAGTCCAACTTTGTGTCAGTTGGTGAAGAGTGTGTGTGCATCAGATTCCAAGATGCAAAATGATTTTTCTTTGGGAGTGAACAGCTCAACCTGAAAACAACAGCAACAACAAAACATTACATATTAAATCTTCATCTGTTTCTTTACATTCTGTGAAAATTTGAGGTTATTTCAACAAAAATTTACAAAATTATTGGCCTACGAAATTATGTCAATTTTTCTGAAACACCCTGTATATTTGGGCCAGTATATTTATTTCTTCTGCTTAGCGATGAATGTTCCTGAATAGCTCTTTAGTCTCTGGCATCTTCACTGTATATTCACTAACTGTTCCTGTGATCTCGACGCTGCTCTTGTTTGAAGCAATAAGACTCCAACCACTTTAACAGACACATTTTATACTTGTATCATGTTTTTATCTTGTTCAAATTGTCTTGTGTGTTTTCTAACCAATGAAGGAAATGACTTATTTTCATATAGAGATTTTGTTAAATTGTGTAATTAAATATAACTGGATTCTATGATGTATGTATTTTTGCAGAAGTCATTTGATGATTTGATGAAGGAAGTGCACGTTTGCTGCATATTTGATCAGTCTGTGATGTAATCCAATGTTTTTTTAATAGAGACAAATCTGACACTGATGTTTGTGTGTGTTTTTTTAATAATTTGCATTTCTTTAAAATTGACTTAAGCACCTAAACTCCGCCCACAAGCACAAACAGAACGGCTAAACTGGAGGAAATACCTGGAGGACTAAAGGGAGAGAGAGGGGGAGGAGGGGAAGGGTCTGGAGGACTAAAGGGAGAGTGAGGGGGGAGGGGTCTGGAGGACTAAAGGGGAGAGTGGTGGGAGGGGTCTGGAGGACTAAAGGGGAGAGTGGTGGGGGGGGTCTGGAGGACTAAAGGGGAGAATAAAGGGGAGGAGGGGAGGGGTAAGGAGGACTAAAGGGGAGAGTTGGGGGAGGGGAGGGGTTTGGAGGACTAAAGGGGAGAGTGGTGGGGGGAGGGGTCTGGAGGACTAAAGGGGAGAGTGGGGGGGCTGGAGGACTAAAGGGGAGAGTGGGGGGGCTGGAGGACTAAAGGGGAGAGTGGGGGGGTCTGGAGGACTAAAGGGGAGAGTGGGGGGGGGTCTGGAGGACTTAAGGGAGAATGAGGGGGAGGAGAGGAGGGTCTGGAGGACTAAAGGGGGGAGGAGGGAAGGGCTCTGGAGGACTAAAGGGAGAGTGAGGGAGAGGAGGGGAGGGCTTTGGAGGACTAAAGGGGAGAGTGGGGGGGGGATCTGGAGGACTAAAGGGAGAATGAGGGGGAGGAGAGGAGGGGTCTGGAGGACTAAAGAGAGAATGAGGGGGAGGAGAGGAGGGATCTGGAGGATTAAAGGGGAGAGTGGTGGGGGGAGGGGCCTGGAGGACTAAAGGGGAGAGTGGGGGGGTCTGGAGGACTAAAGGGGAGAGTGGGGGGGTCTGGAGGACCAAAGGGGAGAGTGGTGGGGGGGGAGGGGTCTGGAGGACTAAAGGGGAGAGTGGGGGGGTCTGGAGGACTAAAGGGGAGAGTGGGGGGGTCTGGAGGACCAAAGGGGAGAGTGGTGGGGGGGGAGGGGTCTGGAGGACTAAAGGGGAGAGTGAGGGGGAGGAGGGGAGGGGTCTGGAGGTTTAAGGAGCAGCATGAGCCAGGTTTTTGTGTCAAACAGCTGGCTATAATCAGGGCAGTCATGTGTGATGTCATATAGTACTTGACATTGCAGTGAGCTCTGGAGGCAGCACACACTTGGATTTAGGCGTTTATGACCAGAAAGCTCCTCATTTGCTGAAAAATAACGAGGAACAGTAGAATGCTGTTAAACAATGGATTTAGTGCTTAGTTCCACTTTCATTTACACAATGTGAATGATCCCAAAGATCCCATTCAGAGTTGTGGAGCTGATGACCCCGGTCTGCACACATGTTCAGAGTGGTTTGGCTTTCCCCAAACTTCATCTGCCTGCCCTTTTCATATGTCCAACACTGACTCCTGTGAGCTTTAAGTCATGTTATAAGTAATGCTGTTCTCTCCTCCAAAACAGAGCTGGCCTTGTGTTTTGTTTCATTCACATGTTTGAGTAACTCTTTAATTCTGTCTACATTTCCAAAGCTCAAAATGCTGTTACACTTTGTGATGTCGTCAAGTGGTAGTTTTAAGGTTAACTGATAGTTTAACCTCAAACGAACTGCTTTGCTCTTCAGTACTCTACAAACATCTTGCTTTTATTTTTGTTATTTCTTTTGTTCCATTGAGATTATCAAGCACATCTTGTATTACAAAGTAGAGTGTTTTTTGTTTTATGAGAAGAACTCAGCTCATGACTAGATAGATCAGAAATAGTACAGTTCAGGCCCTTTAAAAGCCACAGTCATGTACGTGGGAACACTCACGTGTGTGTCATTTGTAATGTGGCTTTAAAGCTCTGTTCTAATGGCTTTCTGTCTGGACACAGTGGGCAGAGGTCAGATAGAAGTGAAATACATTATTGACTTAAGTATACAGTATATTGGCTCTACTCCGAGCTCTTCTCAAGTGACCCTGGCCATTTTGCAGAGTGACTGTCACTGTAACAGTGAAAATGTAAGGGCTGAGCCAACACATACTTTAAGACTTGATTTCTGTTCTATGAAGTGAGCGAAGGTTTAGGCCCATATTTGATCAGAACAATAGTGTCAGTGGTTAGAGCACTTATCCCAAGCCAAATTAAGATCATTTATATACTCAGATCTATGCAAACTGCTGTTGTGTCCTTAAGGCAAGACACACCTCTCTACCAGATGAACTCCTGTTGCCCACCTGTGGTGCCCCCTCTAGGCACCACTTCACACAGAGATACTTATACATCAGTATTCATAATCCTTATCATTTTCAAAACAACAACAACAACAACAAGTCATCTGCACAAACTTGCCACCCCAGTGAAAAAAAAACATGCTCTAAACATGTAAACATGTTTAAATCAACTATAGCTTTTACTGATAACTCTTGTAATGCACTGATTTATTCTTATCACAAAAACATTGGACATGATGAACAAGCTGTTATAATTTGGTGTTTTGGTTCAAAACGATTATCCAATCAGAAAGCAGAATAAGCCTCAAATGAACCTCTGATTGGTCACTCCCTAAACCCTACCAAGAGCCAGTGCTAGTGCAGCTTGTGCAGCTCAGGGAGAGAATTCGGGAGAGTCTGAGCATCACATGAGGTCTGGTCTGTTCATATAATGAGAATGAGACACACTGGGATGTGTCTCTATCTGCAGTGCGAGTTTAAACAGGGGGCCTCTGCAGAGTGGGCAGACACGGTGCGCAGACACGGTGCGCAGACACGGTGCGGTGAATAAACCTGAGCTGACATCTTTGTGAATGACTGATGCACATCAATGAGAAACAAAGATAGAAACACTTGAGTCTCAAGTATTTAAATGCTCAGGCACACAGAAGCAGACTGCCCCCTGCTGCCCGTGGACAGCATTGCACCTTCCCAGACTTAAACAAACATTACTGATAATATTCAAACCTCTGTGATGTCATTACTTTGCCTGAAATGTCCACAGTATGGCATTAAACATATCTATCTTGCATTTATTCAACTACAGATGTTTTTACTGCTCAAACACACCCTGAAAACTTTCAAAAATACAGATAAATGGTTCTTAATGTCAAAGGGGTCACCTTGTCCAAGGATCTGACCTTGTGGCATCACCTGCTTGTTTCCATGGAGATATGATGGTGCTGATGGGCAAGTGACTGAATTTAAACTTCTGCTTCATAACTCTTCAGACAATGATTGCAGCGATTATAAAATTCCAAATTCCTGTAACAGGCTCATTTTCTTTGCTCTCATTTCCATGTGTGATTGACAGGCCATTTGAGTGTGTAATTATTTAAGAGGCTTTTTCTTTTCTCAAAATCACAAAATTCTGAACTAAATTAAAGTAGACTGTACAAGAACAGATGAGTCATTTCTTTAAACCTGTGCAGCTTCTAATGTGAGTTTGGACACAGCACAACCTATCATGATCATTTAATGTGTGTGTGTATGTATGTATGTATGTATGTATGTGTGTGTGTGTGTGTGTGTGTGTGTGTGTGTGTGTGTGTGTGTGTGTGTGTGTGTATGCATGTGTGTGTGTATGTATGTGTGTGTATGTGTGTATGTGTGTGTGTGCGTGTGTATGTGTGTGTGTGTGTATGTATGTATGTGTGTGTATGTGTGTATGTATGTGTGTGCGTGTGTATGTGTGTGTGTGTATGTATGTATGTGTGTGTATGTGTGTGTATGTATGTGTGTGCGTGTGTATGTGTGTGTGTATGTATGTATGTGTGTGTATGTGTGTATGTATGTGTGTGCGTGTGTATGTGTGTGTGTATGTATGTATGTGTGTGTATGTTTGCGTGTGTATGTATGTGTATGTGTGTGTGCGTGTGCGTGTGTGTGCGTGTATGTGCGTGCGTGTGAAACAGAAGAGTCTGCAGTGTTTAGGGTTGGTTCTTCCCCACTTCCCTTCTGCGTTCAGAGCGTCGTAGTTATTCATCACGATGAGTTTATAAGTGCTTCTCACAACTCTCCGATGCCAGAGCGTGGTGTATAAAGCATGCTAACGTGCACTTCCTGATAATCGGATGCTTTATAATGAGATGCAGACAGTACACAGCAGACTTACTTTATCTCAAGAGCTGCATGTGTCCTGGGGAGACACATTTTGAGGTGGTTGAGATCACATGAGGCCTAGGCACAGACAGTCCCTTTATTTATTTATTTATTTATTTATTTATTTATTTATTTATTTATTTATTTATTTATTTATTTATTTATTTATTTAATTAGACAAGGACAATACCATACTGACTTGTCGAAGCCTGATCCTGTCAGATCTCAGAAGCTAAGCAGGCTGGGCCTGGGTAGTACTTGGATGGGAGACCACTAGGAATTCCAGGAGCCACAGGGAGGTGCCAGTGGTAAAAAACTGTTGTTGTGTCCTTAGGCAAGACACTTCACCCACATTGCCTAGTGTGAAAGTGGTGTGAGCGTGAGTGATGGTGGTGTTCGGAGGGGCTGATGGCGCAGATTGGCAGCCTTGCTTCTGTCAGTCTGCCCCAGGGCAGCTGTGGCTACAATAGTAGTTTACCACCACTGAGTGTGGAGTGACTGAATAATGAACTGTAAAGTGCTTTGAGTATCTTGAAAGGTGCTATATAAATGCAATCAATCAATGCTCATGTCCACCTGTCATCCCTGAGCAGATTGATTAATTGACCTTAGCTATAACTGTCCTTCCTGGAGATCTGTAGCATGTTTTGGGTTGATGGGGGAAACCCATCCAGACACAAGGAGGAACATGCAAACTACACACAGAAAGACCCACACAGGGCGACCTGGGGATCAAACCCGGAACCTTCTTGCTGTGAGGCATGAGTCCCAGCCACTCAGCCACTGTGCCACAGTATGTCCCCATGCTGAGACTGAGAGGGATGAGGCAAACAGAGAAAGAGAGGAGAGGGAGGGACAGAGAGACACAGGGCTCACCCTCCTCTGGGACACAGACTCTGTCCTGTTCATGTGGTTTGGGTCATAGAGGGGGAATAATAATACAGATACCCATACGGTCTGTTTCAAACAGAAAAAACACACTTTTATTTGGGCTCACATTTGTCTCAAGTATTAATGAAAATGATGACAGCGCTGCTACAGTCTGAGTGTGTGTGAGGTGCTACTGTCCTACCACAGCCGTGTGTGTTTGTGATGAGGTCAAAACATTCTAACACGGCTTGAAGCCCATTTTGTGTATTTTCACACTCTGGTGTGAAAAAAGTTGTTTTGCAAGTTTCAAATAAGTCTCAAGTCTTTGACCTCAAGTCCGAGTCAAGTCCCAAGTCAAATACAGGCAAGTCCAAGTAGAGTCTGGAGTCACTGGCCCATAAGTCCAAGTCAAGTCCAAGTTGTCTGCTTTGAGCTTCAAGTCATTTCAAGTTTTTAAACCAAAGTACCAAATATAGCTTAGATTTTAGCAATTTATATGAATTTTAAACTAAATTGTACTTAAAAAAAAATAACTGTGTATTTATGTATTGAGTATTTACAGAGTATCTAAGAGTTGTAGAAATGTTCATTTTTCCTTTTTAAATGTCTTGACAAGATTTTAGAGTGAATCATTAGAGTCAGAATAGAAAGAATTCAGATTTAAAAGTGCTTCTCAAGTCTTTTCAAGTCACAGGCCTCAAGTCCAAGTCAAGTTCCAAGTCACTGACCTTCAAGTACAAGGCGAGTCACAAGCCTTAGTCCATTTTATCAAGTCCTAAAAATAGTGACTCAAGTCTGACTTGAGTCCAAGTCACGACTTGAAAGTCCCCACCTGTGTTTCAGGGTAATGCATGACTATGTTCATACTTCCTTAACAAGGAAAACGTTATTGGCTCCAAAAACTCACCATTATATGCAGATGTCCTCTTTTGTGACATGCACTGTTTAATCAGCTCCCCCTGCTGGACACTTACTGTCCTTACATAACCATGACCATCACAGTGTGTAGAAACTTGAGGCACAGTGACGGGCAAGTCCAAGTCAAGCCCCAAATCAGACAGAAGAAAAGTTCAGGTCAGGTCCCAAGTCCTCTGCTTTGACATTCAGCTCACTTTATTATTTTTGCAATCTACGTGATTTTTAAACAATATTTTGAAATCATTGTAACAAATGGGTGGTAATAATATACAAATGTCACGGTATATTTATTGTGGTATTTTGGAGAGGGTCACAGAAGTGTAGGTTCTTGTAGAATCTTTACTGAGATAATTCAAAGAATTCATCATGTAGTTTGCACTGTAATGCAGCAAAAGATCATTGTTTACGCATTTCGCCATTTTTTTTTTGCTGTTGCTGTAACAAAACAATGTCTTTAAGCCAAGAGACATGTAATCCAGTTTATTGTGACAACCCCCAGACCACTAAGACATATGACGATACAGTTGAACAGCACTTCAGGGACTGTCCTGTTTCAGTTTGTTCCTGTTAAATTAAACACCACAAGTGTCAACTGTCAACAGAAGTATTTTCTATATTTTATTTGAGAAGAAGCATCAAGTCATAGGGCTCAAGTCCAAGTGGAGTTACAAGCCTTAGTCAATTTTATCCATTCAACTCTCACATCCTCAAAAGAGTGACTGAAGTCTGATTATACTCAAGTATAATAAATTGTCCCTTGTCCCCTCACCTTTAGACAGTGTATAGTTCTGAAAGTCTGAATGTGTCACATCTCCTACACCACACATCTATTCAGACCGCAAACATTATCATATAAACACCGAACAGCAACCAGTTTGTCAAAAACAACATTTATTTAAAAAAGAGAAAACCTAAATAAAAACAAGATCATGTTTCCCACTATTACACCAGCAGGGGGGTACAGAGTTTTCTGTTCAGCTCAGTGAGGATGGCAGCACCATCACGGACATGGGATTTGGCGTTCAGTGGTACAGTGTGGCATTTGATCTGAGATGGTACAGTCTGTATGCAGTACTTTATGTCTCTCTAGAAGTAGTAGTACTGATGGCAGTAGTACTAGTTATCCATGAGCAGTGAAGGTGGTGGTTAGAAGGTGTTGCGTGTCTCTGTGGGTCTCTGTTGCTGAGCCAGTTTGCCGTAGCCTCCTCTGGCAGGATCGTAGTCCTGACGGTACTCATCTCTCACCTGAACGCACACATACAGAAACACACACACATATACACGCACACAAACACACACACATATACACGAACACAAACAGACACACATATACACACACCAGGAGAAAATCAGATGGAGGTTTGATATCGCACCAAATGTGACTAGAGTAAAGTATCATTAGATTCATGGTTTTACTACAAATCTGGCATAGTCTTTTCTAGTTTTTCCATTTTTAAAGTTAATAATTTGACTTGTTGACATGGGCAGCAGATAGAGGGAATTCCACAACTGTTATCTAGCAAGCATAATACAAACATGGGCCAAAACGTGTCTAAATTACACAATAGTTATGATTATAACACCTTTATTTTAGTAAATCAAAGTTTAAACTGTCAGAAAAAAGTAGTTCCTTGTCCCTGCCTTTTGGATGGAGTTTCAATGTGCTTGACTGATAGTTTTACAACAAAGAGAAATATTTAGAGAATCAGGACAAACATGAAAACACATGAAAAGACTATTAGTGATACAGTCTTTCAAAAATAAACTGTAATAGCACACTTGGTTTGTATGTGAACAATCTGACCTGTCCTCCAGACTTGCCGCGTCCATACTGGCGGCCCTCTTTAAACCCGGCATCCCAGTCTGTGCGGATGATGCGGTCGTCCAGCCTCGTGCCATTCACAAACCTCATGGCGTTCTCTGCGTCAGTGCGAGTGTAGTATCTGACACAGGGTTAAGGAGCACAACAGCAAACAGCAGTGCACTGCTAGTTACCGACATGATCCTTCATGAGTAAAGCCTCCACGCTGAAGTGTTTCAAGTCTTGTTTTAAGACCCACTTTTACTCTTTGGCTTTAACACCTCAGGAGTTGTGTGCTCCTCTGTATGTTATTTTTATGGGTTTGCCCTTTTATTTATTGATACTTTGACTGGTTTCACTGCTTTTCATCTCAAGTTTGAGCGAAAAGATTCACATTAATTCAATGATCCCACTTTTACCACTTTTTGGGTCAGACTCAAAAATGTAACACTGTTTTAGACAATGGGAAACAATCACAAGCTCTACGTTCTATTCTCACAGTCAAACACGTGAGCTGTGTTCAGTCACAAATGGTCACATGCTGCTCAGCGAGGGCAGTCAATAAAACTCATACATCATTTTATGAAAGTGCTTCCCGACCACTGTGAGGCGACGTTTAACTCAATATTTCAGACTTCTGTTCATGTCTTAGCTTTGGTTTGAAGAAAAGCCTCCAGCAGTGTTTGAAGGATACTCGACGAAGCAGAACCCACAGGCCGTCTTCTTGATCTTGTCCAGGCCGATGATGATGCGCTTCACATCTCCACATTTGGCAAACAGCTCATGGACCTGGAGAGAACAGCTTCTTTATTACACAACGCCAAACATCCAAGTATCATCACACGAGTACAACGTGTCCTACCTGCTCCTCCGTCGTATAGAACGACAGGTTTCCAACATATAACGTGTTGCTCTGCTTCAGCAGTTTCTCCTGTTCATAACGATTACCCTAAAACAAACACACACGCACGCGCACACACACACGCACACACACACAGGTCATTAGAACAACAAACTTAATATTACATCATTTCCTGATCTCTGTTCTGTGGTTCTGTTCTAATGCTGTTTCCTCGTCACTCACACCTGGACTTGTGTTTTGTTTCATTCACATGTGCTCCACTGTGTTTTTAAACATCATTCACTTAAAATAGATTCTGTAGAATCATTTCAGTTTTTTTGTACACTTGTACAAAACAATCACTTCATGACATCACAAGGTGGGAGTGGACTTTGGAGATGTAGAAAAATAATAAAGAGTTACTCAAACATGTGTGAATGAAACAAAACAATCCAGGTGTGTTTTTGAGGAGGGAACACAAAAGAATATGGTATAATGTAGGACTTCTAAAGGTCTTATTTATTATTAACCAGAACATGCCAAGTACGCACGTTTTCTCTTTAGCATTTTGATGTTGCATGTCATAATATCGTGCTCTGTTGAGTTTCTTTGCAGAAAAATAAGCTCGCCTGTTGTTAGCATGGGAGGCTGGCCGTTAGCACAACACTAAAAGAGCGGCTCATATTTGCTCTTTTCTCTCTTCTGTGGGTTCGGTCTGTACCTTAAAGTGCTGGTCTCTGTATTGGCTGATGTCGATGTAAGAGTCGCTGTTCAGGGCGTTTAGTTTGGCGGACATCGTGGACTTTGATTTATACAAAGTGAACGAACCGCAGCAGCAGCACCCGGAAGGAGACGCAGCGCACAGGTCCGCCCTCTAAAACAGCCCGGGCGGAACAAGGACTGGGCAGATGAGCACCGGCCTGGAGCCTATGGACCACAGAGCGTATAGAGATATCTATCTATCTATCTATCTATCTATCTATCTATCTATCTATCTATCTATATCTATCTATATCTATATCTATATATCTATATCTATATATATATATATATCTATATATATATATATATATATATATGACTGTATATCTGCTACACAGTCTATGCCACGGACTTCAAATCATCTCTCTCTCTCTCTCTTTATATATATATATATAAACGTAAACACACACCACCATCATCATATTGTATCAGTGTATAGTAAAAGTAAGAAATAGTCCCTAAGCCAGTCTGTGACACTGTGATTTCGCTAAGTGTTAAGGAAGTTAATATAAATAAGTAATTAGTCTAAAGTTAAGTACTAAAATAACTTAACTAGTAATCATTAACTAATTAGGTTATTACTAGTCATTACTATTAGTTAAATATTACTAGTTAAGACCTGACAGCGTTTACCATGCCTATGGGTAATTAAGTACTAAGTATTTTCAAAGTATTGCAGTGTTAAGTTACTTAGTACAGTGTAGTACAGTGTAATTAAATTAGATTTTTAAACTTCGTTACATCTTAAAATGTATTAAAAGATGATGGTAAAAAAGTCACTGCTCTTTAAACGTCTATGACTCCGGCCTGTACCTGAACCAAACAAACACAACAATGATGCCTTTTCACAAGTTTTATTATCACAATTCAGCTTTAAATTCAGCCAGGAATTATAAGGATTTATTCAAAATATGACAAATAAAAAAATCAATCATGATGTGATGAGGGCCTGTCATTATGAATGTGTGTTACTCATGTCAGTGTTTATGAGTGATTATGTCATGATGAGTCAGAGGATGTTTGGAGCAAAGAGGTCATCTGCTTAGTCCAGATGCAGAGGTCAGAGGTCATGGATGTATGTGCTCCTGAAAAACACAAAGACCTTTAGAGTTAGTGACGAGTAGTGGGAAGAATACTTTGAAAGTGTGTTCCAACACATGGTCCAATCAGAGAACTGTGTTCTGAACACTTTTATCTGCAACATAGAATCAGTAACGACTTAATGGTTCTTTCACCATAGGGTTGTCAATAGTATCAAAAATCATGTACTGATCAATATTAAAACTAGTATCAAACCTAGATGTTCATTTAAGCAGGTATCAATACTAAAAAGTCCCATTGACAGAACAGAAATGAACCTTTCCTGAATGTCTTTAGAATGATGTTGAGCTGGATCAGAACAAGTGTCAGAGCACATAGACCAGTATACACACATGGACCAACATGAACCTACTGCACCACTGACCATCACACACATATAAGACACATGGAATAGAAAAGAAAGTTCTACCATTTAATGCTGAAAATTATATTCTATTGTCTAAAAAAAACTTTTTAAAAGGATCATTGTGATATTGAATCATTACTGTATATTTGAAAACACTTGATTCTGTTGCCTCCCTCATAATTGCATATTGGGATTATAGATGCATTTATTCTGCACCAGGCCCAGTACAGATTTCTCAGCTCCATACCTGGTCTCTGGTCTCCTCTGGTCTGGCCTCAGAGCTCAGTCCTCCTCTCGATGCTGAGCAGCTCCACCTCAAAGATGAGTGTGGCTCCTCCGGGGATCTTAGGGGGCGCTCCTCTGTCTCCATAGCCCAGCTCTGAGGGGATCACCAGCTTCCTCTTCTCACCCTCACACATGCCCAGCAGCCCCTGGTCCCAGCCTTTGATCACCTGAGGACATGACACCAAACATACAACCATCTGACAGGGAAGGATTCTGTAAAAGGACAAAGAACCCAGATCTACATCCAGGGTAAAGAAGGAATAAACAGAACTTGCATAAAACAAGTCTAACTATAAGTAGCCTAGTTTAAGGAAGGCAAAAACAACAGACTTGGGCATAACCAGATCTAAATACAGAATTGTCCAAAACTGAAACCTTCAGGACCAGGCCAAGAACGCACCAGAACTAAACCAGGATAAGCAGCAATAAAGGAACCATATGTATGATTTTTATTTGAAATGTCATAAACATGACATGTTCAAGACAATTACCCAATCACAAAGTAGGATGAGCCTCACGTGTGTCTCCTTGGCCTGTCCAGTTCCTCTGCTGAAGTCCAGTTGAAATGATCTACTCAGTAAAGGCCTGCTTTATAACCTGAGGCCTCGTTTAGACATAGTTTAGTATTAGTGCTTCGTCCTGGAGTTCAGTAAATTGTATTCAGTCTGCAAAGACTTTAAAAAGTGCAATCACACGTGAGCCTGGACTGTCAGAGCTTTAACCTGCATCACCACGTCTGAGTTCAGAGCCCCGGAACCCCCCGGAACCCCGCGCTCACCTGCCCCGTGCCCAGGGTGAAGGTGAAGGGCCGGTCCCGGGGGATGCTGCTGTCGAACTCGGTGCCGTCCTCCAGGCGCCCGGTGTAGTGCATGTGCAGCACGTCTCCTTTGCGGGACTTAACGGGGCAGTGGTCCACGCGTTTCTTGATTCCAATCTGGAGCTTCTTCTTGTCGGCGCCGCTCACAGCCGTGAGCAGCACGGCCAGCAGCAGCAGCAGGGTCCGCATGGCTCTGGACACGTCCGGAGGGATGAGGCCGGAGGTTTGGAGAAGAGATGAGCCGGACAGAAGCGCAGGAGAGGGAGATGAAGAGGGAAAGATGACCCGGCAGAGCTTCCGACGTGCTGCAGGAAATGCGTCCGACTGCACACAACCAATTTGCAAATACATGTAAAAGAAAAAAGAGGAAAAAATGCAAACAGACTCCTTCCCTTATTTTAATAGACCCATGCTCTTTCTTCACATTTGTCCTGTGGGGTTTGTAATGGACTGTGTGGACGTGCAGGTACAAAAGCAGCACGTGATTTAACTTGAAGGAGAAAAATGCAATGAGAGAATGAATCAAGATTTGCATCAGGTCACGGGTGTCTGGGTATATATATATATATATATATATATATATATATATATATATATATATATATATATATATATATATATATATATATATATATATATATTAATCCTTTCTATAATATTGTCAGCTGTTCCTAGTCATCTTATGGTTATTTAATGTAAACTAGGTACATATGCATCTTTCTGGTCAAAAACATAAACATGACTCCTGGCTCTAATGGCCACTGAAATTTTAAGTAGTTGGTGATATCACTTAAGACTGCCCTGATTACAGTCAACAGCTGCTGTAGGGGCGGAGTCTGAAGTGTGGATACCGGTTTGGTCGAGTGAGACTCCATCAACCAATTAACTGACTGAAATGAGTTTGGACAAAAAAAAAAAAAAAAAACATCTAACGACGTGGTGAAGTGGTACACTATAGTGTCTCATCAAAAACATGCCTGAAGAGGTTTTTGATGTCAGCCATAAGTATTTTAGCAATCTCTCCCTATCTGAACCCTCTTTACAGTTCACAGTACGAGCCTGTACAAGGCTCCGCCCACAAGCCTACATCGCCCCTGCTCCCACACAACAATTTTCCATAAAAACATGATGCAAAACTACACAGCAACTGGACAAACCTGATGTGATGTGCAGGAGTTTCATTAGTGGGAGGCACACTGATTGTGCTGTGATAGTGCTCTGAAGGTGGAGTGACTTTGCAAGGAGAGCAAAGGGAGGGGAGGCTCAGAGTGTCAAAAACAAAACAGAAATTTATAAAATGAATACAGCATTTTAAAAACAATAACATGTTGGTGTAAATATGTCATGTATTAGCAGTTAAAGCCCCACCAAACTAAAATAGCCCCTCTTTAAAAGTAGACTCAAAAAAGGGTCAAATATGAAGTTATTATGTGTATGTGTATGATTTGGTTTGTACAAGTAAAATATCCAACAGAAGCTACATGTATGAATGTATGTAATAGTATGTATGTATATGATCGATCAGATAAGCCGTCTTTTACATTTACACTGTAGTCTGTGTGCCGCAGGTTGTGAAACTTGGATCTGAATCTTTATCTCAGTGTAAATGGACACTTCCCGTAATCTACAGGATAATCCACATAAATGCACATGACTCGTGGGATTATGGTCATAGAGAGCACCTCACGTGTGCTCCGGTGAGTACTCCCTCTGCCCTCTGGCCCAGTAAGCCTCTGACCTGCACTGCTATTCTCTGTCCTTATTTCCTTTCCTTCATTCCTCTCTTCAATTTTGCAAGAAATGGGTGAGGATGTCAGTGAGGAGAGAGGAGACACAGAGAGGAGATACAGTGAGGAGAGAGGAGACACAGTGAGGAGACACAGTGAGGAGAGAGGAGACACAATGAGGAGAGAGGAGACACAGTGAGGAGAGAGGAGACACAGTGAGGAGAGAGGAGACACAGTGTGGAGAGAGGAGACACAGAGAGGAGACACAGTGAGGAGAGAGGAGACACAATGAGGAGACAGTGAGGAGAGAGGAGACACAGTGTGGAGAGAGGAGACACAATGAGGAGAGAGGAGACACAGTGAGGAGAGAGGAGACACAGTGTGGAGAGAGGAGACACAGTGAGGAGAGAGGAGACACAGTGAGGAGACACAGTGAGGAGAGGAGACACAGTGAGGAGACACAATGAGGAGAGAAGAGACACTGAGAGGAGACACAGTGTGGAGAGAGGAGACACAGAGAGGAGACAAAGTGAGGAAAGAGGAAAAACAGAGAGGAGACACAGTGAGGAGACCTAGTGAGGAGACACAGTGAGGAGACACAGTGAGGAGACACAGTGAGGAGACACAGAGAGGAGACACAGAGAGGAGACACAGAGAGGAGAAACAGTGAGGAGAGAGGAGACACAGTGAGGAGACACAGAGAGGAGACACAGTGAGGAGAGAGGAGACACAGAGAGGAGACACAGTGAGGAGAGAGGAGACACAGAGAGGACACACAGAGAGGAGACACATTGAGGAGAAGGTGTATGGAGTTTAAAAACACAGGAGGAAACCACATTAGAACAGAACAGAGGCGTGCTGTTCCTCTTCAGTCTTTCTGCCTTCTGACTGGATAATGATCTTGAGAACCAAACACCACATTGTCACATAAATGAATGACAATTCATGTTTTTGTAATAACAATAATGTAATAAATCATCTTTACAATGTTATCAGTAAAATATATATATTTGATTGAAACATGATCTCATATCTGCACACACGGACCATGTTTATGAGATTTATAATAAAATGTTGGTTTAAACCTAACATCCCTCTCTCTGATCTAAACCCCAGCACCTGCACTTGTCATGAGTCAGAGCTAGTGCAGCCTCTGCAGCTCAGGAAGGGAATTCTGGAGGTTGTGAGCTTCACATGAGTCCTGTTCTGTCCATAAACTGAGAGTGAGACACTTGGACGTGTCTGTGTGTGTGAAGGCAGGTTGGGATCTTTGAGGCTTTAGTGTAGAGATGCAGGCTACACTTCCTTGGACCTCACCTGAGGAACATCTCTGAGCAAGTGTTTGTTCACTTGTTGTTTGAAGTGTCAGAAATCCCACCGTTCCCGTGTACCTGGAGACGAGGTGGATGAGCGTTGCTATGTTGTTGTCACTACGTTGCTAGGCAACTCAGCTCCTGTGCATTAAGTCTGTGTGTGGGAGGGGCCAATTAGGGGCATGCCTTAAGAGAAAACAACAGTTTTCAGTTAAGGTTAGTTAAAGCAACAGTATCTTACTTAAAAAAAAAAAAAAAAAAAAAAAAAAAAAAAAAAAACAGTTTGTGTGTGCATTTTGCTTGTGTTTATCACTCTGCTGTCGGCAGTGGGAGTGGACACTGGGAAACTAAACAGCTGAAGTCCTCAGCCCTGAGACGGCTATGCTAGCACTGTGAACAGTGTGACCACAGAATGAGGACAGTGAAGGTATAAAACAGGAGAGTTATACCTATGACGCAACAATCTGGGCAAAACTGAATGAAGCATTTATGAGGTGAACTTTGAATTCATGGATTAATGATGCAAGTGACACAAACACTCCTCAGGTGTGTTTTTAACAAAGGAACAACATAACATGACTTGAAGGCCAAAAAAGTTTTTCATAATGTGTGTTCATCAAAAATAATGTGATGTATAAAAGTGTGTACAGTGTGCAGAGAGTAAGTGAAAACAATGATGCAGGACAATGCAGGATGACTCAACATGCATGAGTCAAAAATACATCTGAGTACACTAGGGTGAGGGAACATGTGTAACATGTTTAAAAACTCATAAGTCCATTTTACATAATACAAACCTTTAAATCATACTAGCAATTGACATTTTTCTCATTTCCATGGCAACCTGCCTATGTCCTCATTTGCGTCCCTTTGGAGCTGACTAAGCGCTCAATACGTCCCCGCACTCATATTAGTGCTAATTAGGCTTTGTCCAACACTAAATGAAGGTATAGAGGGCAAGAGCAGAGAGGGGAGGGGCACAGTTACTATGGCTGCAGTTTGGTTTATGGTAAAAAAAATCTCTCTCTCTCTCCCTCTCCCTCCCTCTCCCTCTCTCTCTCTCTCTCTCTCTCTCTCTCTCTCTATATCTATATATATATATATATATATATATATATAAACACAAATTAATTTCAGTCACATGACATTTTTGAGGAAGGATTTTCCTGTATCCAAACGAATGGGGGAATCCCAGATATTTACATTGGTTGCATATAACAAGAAGCTGATGGCTTTTTAAACAAAGGAACAAGACACATGTGAAGAAGAACTGTGGACACTGTCTCTGCTTCACTCAAAACTGTTATTAACAGTAGAACATACAGGTGTTATAACAGTAGAACATGCAGGTGTTCACAGTAGAACATACAGGTGTTATAACAGTAGAACATGCAGGTGTTCACAGTAGAACACACAGGTGTTATAACAGTAGAACATACAGGTGTTATAACAGTAGAACATGCAGGTGTTATAACAGTAGAACATACAGGTGTTATAACAGTAGAACATACAGGTGTTATAACAGTAGAACATACAGGTGTATTAACAGTAGAACATGCAGGTGTTATAACAGTTGAACATACAGGTGTTATAACAGTAGAACATGCAGGTGTTATAACAGTAGAACACACAGGTGTTATAACAGTAGAACATACAGGTGTTATAACAGTAGAACATGCAGGTGTTCACAGTAGAACATACAGGTGTTATAACAGTAGAACACACAGGTGTTATAACAGTAGAACATGCAGGTGTTATAACAGTAGAACATACAGGTGTTATAACAGTAGAACATGCAGGTGTTCTAACAGTAGAACATGCAGGTGTTCACAGTAGAACATACAGGTGTATAACAGTAGAACATACAGGGTTATAACAGTAGAACATACAGGTGTTTATAACAGTAGAACATACATACAGGTGTTATAACAGTAGAACATACAGGTGTTATAACAGTAGAACACACAGGTGTTATAACAGTAGAACATGCAGGTGTTATAACAGTACAGGTGTTAACAGTAGAACATACAGGTGTTATAACAGTAGAACATACAGGTGTTATAACAGTAGAACATGCAGGTGTTTAACAGTAGAACATACAGGTGTTAACAGTAGAACATACAGGTGTTATAACAGTAGACACGCAGGTGTTATAACAGTAGAACACACAGGTGTAGAACAGGTGTTAACAGTAGAACACGCAGGTGTCAGTAGAACATATAACAGTAGAACATGCAGGTGTTAACAGTAGAACAACAGGTGTGTATAACAGTAGAACAAC